TCATAGCGGCACAATTCACAATAGCTAGACTGTGGAACCAACCTAGATGCCCTTCAATAGATGAATGGATTAAAAAATGTGGCATCTAAACACAATGGAGTACTACGCAGCAATTAAAAACGACAAAATCATAGAATTTGCAGGCAAATGGATGGCATCAGAGCAGATTATGCTAAGCAAAGCTAGCCAATCCTTAAAAAACAAATGTCAAATGTCTTCTTTGATATAAAGAGAGCAACTAAAAACAGAATACAGAGGAAGAGCATGAGGAAAAGATTAACATTAAATAAAGACGAGTGGGGGGAGAGAAAGGGAGAGAGAAGGGAAAGCATATGGAAATGGTAGGAGACCCTCAATGTTACACAAAATTACATATAAGAGGTTGTGAGGGGAAAGGGGGGGAACAAGGGAGAGAATTGAACAACAGCAGATGAGGTACAGAGGGATGATGGGAGGGGAGGGGGGATAGTAGGGGATAGGAAAGGTAGCAGAATACAACAGTACTAATATGCCATTATGTAAAAATGTGAGTTTGTAACCGATGTGATTCTGCAATTTGTATTTGGGGTAAAAATGGGAGTTCATAACCCAATTGAGTCAAATTTATGAAAGATGATATATCAAGAGCTTTGTAATATTTTGAACAACCAATAAAAAATATAAAAAAAGAAACATACAACTTTAATAATAATTCTATAAAGGCCATTCTTTTTCAATTGACCATAATGCCAAAAAGTGGCTTTGAAGAAAAATAACTAAAATGTTTAATTGGAAGACTACATATAACTATAGAATAGAAGCTCTGTTAAGTCAGACTCCTGCCACCTACTTTTTGAGCACTGCTATATATCTATGGTACCTAAAAGAGTACTCACCGGGAGTTGTGGCACACTCCTGTAATCTCAGCCTCTCAGGAGACTGAAGCAAGAGGACCACAAGCTCAAGGCAAGCCTGGGCAATTTAGTGAGACTCTGTTCTCAAAATAAAATAAAAACGGGCTGAGGGTACAGCTTAGAGGTAGAGCAGTTGCATAGCATGCACAAGGCCCTGAGTTCAATGCCCAGTACCACACAAACACACAAACACACACACCAAAAAAAAAAAAAAAAAAAGACTATAACTCAGTAAATATTTTCTTAACATATGAAAACTGGCAGATCTTTAAATAAACTTCTACTTTCTGCATATGTCATCAAAAATAAAATGTGAGTATAGCACCACTCCCAGACAGCTGCACGCTATTTACTCCAATCCAGCAAAAATGTCCCACCCTATAGAAACTAAGGGGTACTGAGTCCCTGATTGCTATTTTCCAGAAGTGTATTAAAAAGGATGGGAATAGCTGCACTCTCTCCAAGAGAGAGTTCCTAAGCTCATGAATACAGAATTGGCTGCCTTCACCAAGAACCAGGAGGATTCTGGTGCCCTTGATTGCATAAAAAAATAAACCTCAACAGTGATGGACAACTAGATTTCCAAGAATATCTTATTCTTATTGGTGGTTTAGCCATGGCGTGTTATGAATCCTTATGAAAGCTACATATTGCCAGAAGTCTGCGGCCCCCAAAGGACCTGATCTCAAAACTTCCTTCTTCCCTTCAGCTCCCCAGTCATTCCACCCCATGCATACCCCGAGTCCAGGGGGGGTGGGGGGTGGGGGGGAGATGGGGAATAAATGAGAGAATCTAAATATAAATATACATTAGATGATATTATAAAATTATTACTCATTATCTTGGGAATGATAATGACATTATAGTTATTCTAGAAAATATTTCTGTTTTCAGAAGATGCAAATTGAAGAAAGCGGAAGTGAAGTATCAAGATAGCTACAACTTACTTTAAAACAATCCTGGGTTAAAAAAAAAAATGTGGCTAAAGTAAATGTGGCAAACTTTTAATAACCAACTAACAAAAAGGAAACGCACTAATTCTTTGGTACACTATTCTTTCAACATTTATAAAGATTTGGGTTTTCCAAATAAAAAGTTGGACCAAAAAAAAAGTCATGAAGCAGGGCTGGGGTTGTGGTTAAGTGGTAGAGCACTTGCCTAGCATGTGTGAGGCACTGGGTTTCATTCTCAACACCACATACAAACAAAGATGTTGTGTCCGCCAAAAACTAAAAAATAAACATTAAAAAAAATTCTCTCTCTCTCTCTCTTTAAAAAAAAGAATCAATAAATGGGATAGACTCAAACTAAAGTTTCTTCTCAGCAAAAGAAACAATCTGTGAGGTAAATAGATAACCTACAGCATGGGAGCAAATCTTTACCCCTCACACACCAGATAGAGCACTAATCTCTAGGGTATATAAAAAACTCAAAAAGCTAAACACCAAAAAAACTAATAACCCAATCAATAAATGGGCCAAGGACCTGAACAGACACCTCTCAGAAGATGATATACAATCAATCAACAAATATATGAAAAAATGTTCATGCAAATTAAAACCACTCTAAGAATTCATCTCACTCCAGTCAGAATGGCAGCTATTATACATACAAACAACAATAAGTGTTGGCAAGGATGTGGGGAAAAAGGTTCACTTGTACATTGCTGGTGGAACTGAAAACTGGTGTAGCCAATATGGAAAGCAGTATGGAGATTTCTTGGAAAACTGGGAATGGAACCACCATTTGACCGTCCATTCCCTCTCCTCAGTCTGTACCCAAAGGACTTAAAAACAACATACTACAGGGACACAGCCACATCAACGTTTATAGCAGCATAATTCACAATAGCTAAACTATGGAACCAACCTAGGTGCCCTTCAATAGATAATGGATTAAAAAAAATGTGGCATATATACACAATGCAATATTACTCAGCAATTAAAGAGAATAAAATCATTGCATTTGCAGGTAAATGGATGGAGTTAGAGAAGATAATGCTAAGTGAAGTTAGCCAATCCCAAAAAAACAAATGCCTAATGTTTTCTCTGATATAGGGAGGCTGATTCATAGTGGGGTAGGGAGGGGGAGCATGGAGGAATAGATGAACTCTAGATATGGCAGAGGGGTTGGAAGGGAAGGGAGAGGGCATGGGGTTAGAAATTATGGTGGAATGTGATGATCATTATTATCCAAAGTTCATGTATGAAAACATGAATTGGTGTGAATACACTTTGTATACAACCAGAGATGTAAAAAATTGTGTTCTATAAGTGTAATAAAAATTGTAATGCATTCCGCTGTCATATATATATAAAAAAATTTAAATACAAAAAGAAAAGTTAAATAGTTATCCTAATAAAATGCTCATCAAAACTGGGTGTGGTAACATACTCCTATAACCCCAGCTATTAGGGAGACAGAAGCAGGAGGATCAGGAGTTTGAGGCCAGTCTGGGAAACAAGACCCCAGCTCAAAAATAAAAAACTAGGATTGGAGATATAGTCAGTTGGTGGAATGCTTACTTCCCTGGCATGCACAAGGCCATGGGTTCAATCCCCAGCACCACAAATAATTAATTAATTAATTTAAAAAGCTAAATAAGCAGTCAATATTCTTGAGCTGGGAGCATTTTTACAGTGCTTACCCAAATTTAAGAAAGTCCCCATGACCTAATGTCAAAATCCTTCTCAGAGAAATGTGACTTAGAATATCTAATACATGCCAAGGTCCTCAATTTCAACATGCCACTCTTTTTCCAATAGGGAAATATATTATCTAACAAAGCCAGGTTACAACAATTCAGAGACAAGGAAAACCAACACAGTAAAAATAATAAAGATCATATCATGTATACACATAAATTAGGAAGTATCTTCATGTTCCTTAGTGCATCTGGTCTCCAAAGGTAGGCAGAGAAGAAGGTAGAAAAGAATGGTCAGTCTTCCCCTTTCAAAAATAAAAGAAAAAAAGGTCAAAGAAGTCAAGTAATTTTTCAACATCATCAATTTGATTTATTTCAAACTGAAAATTCATTCAATTTAAATAAAAAAAAGTAAGTTAAATAGTTATCCTAATAAAAATGCTCATCAAAAAAGAACAGGCCCAGCTAGGTACAGTGGGTTGCACCTGAAATCCTAGTGACTCAGGAGTCCAAGGCAGAAGGATTGTTAAGTTTAAGGCCAGCAACTTAGCAAAACCCTATCTCAAAAAAAAAATAGTATCCCATTTCATATCTTTAAGTTGAAAAATATATAGTCAGTGGATACTGCAGTAAGTATAAATAAGGCAATTAGATATTTATTCCCATTAAAAAAAAAAAAAAAACAAACCTCGGGGCTGGGATTGTGGCTCAGTGGTAGAGCGCTTGCCTAACATGTGAGGCACTGAATTAGATCCTCAGCAACACATAAAAACAAATAAATAAGCAGTATTGAAGTCCATTACACCTCCAGCAGCAATTTGCGAAGCTGCCAAAGCCTTAGACAAGCACCAGGCCCATCTCTGTGTACTTGCATCCAAGTGTAATGAGCCTATGTATGTCAAATTGGTGGAGGCCCTTTGTGCTGAACACCAAATCAATCTAATTAAGGTCGATGACAACAAGAAACCAAGTAAATGGGTAGGCCTTTGTGAAACTGACTGAGAGGGAAAGCCCCGTAAAGTGGTTGGTTGCAGCTGTGTAGTTGTTAGGATTATGGCAAAGAATCTCAGGTCAAGGATGTCATCGAAGAGTACTTCAAATGCAAAAAATGGGCAAATAAATTTTTCGTTCACATTCCTCAAAAAGAAAAAAAAAGCCACAAATAAATAAAATAAAGGTTAAAAAAAATCTTTGGGTAAAAAATATTAAAACTGCCTTCTCCTTTCAAAGATCATTTAGTAAGTAATACTATATTTTTAAAAATGAAGAGTTCAATACTGGTCTAATTATTTTTCATCTCTTAAATAAATATTCCCACAAATACTTAAGAGTGACTTGAAACATTTTTAATTTTTTCAGTCTTTACTTAAAAATCAAGACTGATATGAATGCAAAATTGATACGAATCATTTCTTCCCGATAATGTTATAAAATTTTTATTTTAGAATATATTCTTCAGCCAGATGTGTAATCCCAGCAACTCCAGGGACTGCAGCAGGAGGATCACAGGTTCAACCTCAGCAACTCAGCAAGACCCGGTCTCAAAAAATTAAAAGGTGTGGTAGTAGAGCACCCTTGGGCTTAATTCCCAGTACTGCCAAAACTTTAAAAAAAAAAAAAAAAAAAAAAAAACAGAACATATTCTTCAATCTATGAAAAAAGATGCTATGTTTTTTAATGACCCCTCCCAAGTTTCAACTTTTCTATAACAGTGATATCAGAAAAAGTCTGAAATAGGAAATATATTTATCAATTCTATACATAAAAAAATAAAAAGGGGTGGTGATGTAGCTTAGTATTAGAATGCCACTGGATTCAACTCCCAGTTTAAAAAAAAAAAGAAAGAAAAAGAAAAAGACATCACTAGTACAAGAATACAGTGTAGAAAAATAAGGAAATTGGGGCTGGGGATGTGGCTCAGGCGGTGGCGCGCTTGCCTGGCATGCCTGCGACCCGGGTTCGATCCTCAGCACCACATACCAACAAAGATGTTGTGTCCGCCGAGAACTAAAAAATAAATATTAAAAATTCTCTCT